GCAAATAACGTATCCAGTAGAAATGTGTTATCTCCTGTGGCTGCTGTCATTAAACAAATGCATACCACCCTGCCTGTGCACAAGGGATGGCTGGGCAGGACAACCCAGGGTCAGCCAGTATGATCGTCAGTGGCACGAGAGGTCTGTGTGTCCAAGGATGCTCAGATAATTCCCTGATCCAATGAGAGATGTGGCTTTTTTACTTTCTCTTCCCCTGAGGAGGTGCAACCCTTCTGGGGATCATGACAAGATTCTGGCTTTAAGAACAACAGTTTGGGCACAGGGGACGGGCCAGGTGGCAGGTTCAGTGCCATCCAACATGGTGTTTCCCCCCCGCCTCCCCTGAAGTTAGTCACTAAGCGTGGCAGCGCTCAGCGGTGAAGGGGGCTGCGTGCAGGGGAAGGGGCTGAGATAACATTCAGACCCTCCTTCTGCCAGAAAGCCAGAGGTCAGGCTCATTCACCAGGGCAGCAGGAACTTTGCTTTAAATGTTTCAGTTCATACTGAATATGCACTAAATGAACTACTCAACCGCCACCGACTGAGATATTTAAGGATGAAGAAAGTGGGGGTCAATCAGTTGACGCTGAGCCACCCCCCAGCCCCAGAGCTGGCGAGGTGGGTTTCCTCTGGCTCCTGTGATGTGCCCAGGGATTTCTCCCTGGGAGTTGTTCCTGGGAAGACAGGGCAGGAGAGGTGGTGAGACTCTCCTTTTGCTCCCAAAACGTCTCTCCCACCTCAGTTTCAGGCTACAGCTCACTTCATCACCTCACATGAATTGTACTACAACTACTCAGGAAGGATCCATGGTGAACCTGGCCAGAGTAGCTTACCCAGTCCCCTGCAAACTGCTGGCAAAGTGGCTTTGAGAGCCAACAAGACCAAGAGATTCCTGCCCCAGTTCATGTACCCCACCAAGGGGGGAGGATTGCAGCTATATGATAGGTTTGGTTTGCTCCAAATTTTAGATTGGCTTGCTCCAACTTTTTCTCGTGCATGTATTTTTCAATTATTTGTCTATTCTCAGTGTATTTAGAATGGAATGAGAGCCATGGATTGCTTTAGTGAAGTCACTGAGCTAATGATGACATCATCAAAATGCTGCTCTATGTAAAGATACAAGTAGTACTGGAAAAGGAAAGTGGAAGCACTTTAATATTTGATTTCCCTTTTTTTAATAGTCCACATCAGCAGAGGCTGTTGCTCTGCTGCTCCCCGTCCTTTTCTATACCCATAGCAATGGACTGCTTCTGCTCTGACCTGATCTAAATTGTAATTCGGGTCATTTCCACGACAGCATCTAGTGCTGTGACTGGGATTCACACATTCACGCTGCAGTGGTTGTCAGTGTAAGTGCTGGGCCCCAGGGAGCCCACAGGTGAGAAGCTGGGCAGTCTGGAGTAAGGAAGAGGTAGAGTGGGAGTAAGAGTCGTGATGAAGAGCTTGTGTCTAAACCGAGAGGACGTGGTTTTTTGGATCAAGAAATCTGGATCAATCCAGGGAGATGAGATCTGTGTCAGGCCACTTTTAGGCGACTGAATGGTGTGCAAGCAGCCTGCAGGGATGTCACTCGGTGCTTGTCTTTAATACGCATCTCCACGTCACTGTGGAGAAGGAATACCCGCAAACCTGGGGGAGGGAGGCAGGTAGACTGCTGTGATTACTGTGTAACGAGCCATAAAATCATAAGAAAGTTCCAAAGGAAAACCTGGGCGTCACTTCAACAGCCAAAAAAGGCAAATGTTGGAGGCACAGGTACACTGCTGGTGGGCGAAGGTGGGAGGGCTCTGTGCTCTGGGCGGGTGGCTCTGGCTTGGGGGACATCTACAAGGTGCCACTGAGCGAGGTGCTAAATACCAGCGGAGTGGGGTGGGAGCCGGGGGAGCCATGGGAGCCGCTCCTGGTGGCAGTTAGGGAGTCCCCAGGGCTTGCTTCAAGGCTTTTCTTTTTGTAGCCATCATTTCAGAGTGAATTTTCCCTTCATGTGATGCTCCCCCCCGCCCCCCGCTGCTGGCAGCAGGGGTGCTCTGCACCTAGGGGTGCCTGCCTGGCCAGAGTGTGTGTGGGCCAGAGATTTCCCCCCAAAGTGAATCGGAGTTTCTCTCTGCTCCTCTTTTTCACAGACAGAAGAGGCAAGCTATTTCCCTGGCCAGGCTGAAGACATACATGTGGACTAGCACCTCGAAGTTGATTTTATTTTTACAGAGCTGTTTCCCTGCCGTGGTGAGCAAAACCAAACCCCGGCTTGTTTTGGGTGCAGCCCTGGAGAACCGGGGGCCGCAGAGATGGGGCTGGCTGTGGGGCTGGCCGTGGGGCTGGCCTGTCTGCTGGAGGTGGCTCTGCAGGCCTGCACTTCTGCTCCCCCCACATCTCTCTTTTTTAATGCAATAAATGCCTGTAACCTCTTAGGGGATGAAAGCCCCTGAAGATTATCTGCAATATAGTGACAAAGGTGCCTAAAGCCCTTTTCTTCTCCTGGGCTCTGTCTGTGTCACCAGGCTTCTAGAAAAAGAAATACTTTTATTTCTTGGCATATCGACAATTTAACTAATGACAAGAATTTCAAAATCTCAAGTTATTTTTGATGGTCTTCATTTCTCCTGAATCTCCAATGTGAGCATGTCTCCTCCACAAGCCCCTTTTCCTGTGCTGTGGTACCTGGACACAGGGTAGCCAAAGGATTCCAGATTATCTGGCAACACTTAATTTCTGAGGATAACTCAAACTTTTCTGTGCAATCAGAGCTCAAATGCTTATTCCCGTAAATCTGATTAATGCTGGCACTACCTTTATGCTACTGATGTTGCACTCAAAAAACCATATTAAACTGCCTACCTGAAACTGTTTCCTAAAGCAATACAGCCTCAATTCTGTTTTACAAATAACAAAGGTTTGGAACAACACAGACAGTTTAAAAAAAGACAGATAACAACTACCAAAAAAATCAGGCTATTTAAGCTGAGGGACTATCTTAAACAAGTTTCAGAAGTCTGCATTCCGACCTTCTCCCTAAGCATCCTGTGCATATTGGCTGTCCCTGGTGTATTCAGTACTTTTGTCTTGCAAACAGAGGTTAGGATGGAGAATGAGGTTGAAGGTGAGAGAATTAGCCCAATACATTTAATGCAAAGTACATAAATGTTCAAACTCAAGGTTGGGGACAAGTCTTGGGAGCTGGGAGAGCCTGATGGGTTCTGATCAGCGCCTTGGTGGTGCTGGGTGCTTGTGCTGGTCTTACTGTTGGTGTCCTGAGGGGGGGGAAGAAAAAAAAAAAAAAAAAAAAACAAAAAAAACAAACAAGGGGATGTTCCAAATTGAAGCTTTTGGTAGTGAGGAATTACAGTGCCAGGTCCTATGCTCTGAACACCCCCATTCCCTCAGGCAGCTGGTGATTCTTTTTCAAACGCTATTTCAGGGTACTTCACTCAGGCTAGAAGAGAAATAAGGACTGGAGGGATGGCTTCACCTCTGGTCAAGAACTGCCAGCGGCTGTGTCTGGAGCCACGGTCTCTCTGTCTGAGGCTGCTTCAGGTGATTCCAGACACATCCCTTCTTGGGGCCAAAGGCCATGTTTTACAGAAGATCACATGCAGCTATGTTAATTCATTTTTATAGTACACCATAACCATTCAAATGGCATCTGAACCTCTGGGCAACAGACCTGGCTGTGTTTGCCCCCCACTCCGGCTGTGTCTGTGTGCAGTTTGGCTCGTGCTGCGCTGTGCCCCAGGAGGCCCCACTGCTGCCTTGCTCGGAGAGGCACCCATGGGTGCAAGTCCCCGAGCCCACCCTGCACAGTCCCTTCCCTCCCTGCCTGCGTGTGCAGTGTCACCCAGGCTGGACACTGGCAGGGAATGAGCGACCCAAGGCGGGGCTCTGCAGTAACCCATCCTGTATGGAGTTTTGCCCTGGACTAAAGGATTTCTCCAGCTCCCTGCACCATCAGGGATGACATCCTGCAACGGCAGGGTGCATGCCTGGGAGCCTGGGAGCCTGCAGCCCCCTTCCAGGTCCCCCTTTTACAGCAATTGCGGCATGTAGCCACCCGGGAGGAAGGGGAGATGAGAAGGAGAAACCCCACAAAAAAATCCAGATGAAACCTTGCAGAAGGGGGATCACCCAGCACCTCTGCAGGGGGCAATGGCCAGATGTCTTCCCCCTGGTCCCATTTTGGGCAAGTCCTGGCACAAGCCTGGTCATGGATCCTGGGAAACCCCAGCAGGAGCCCAGTGTCCTGCCAGGCACCCAACAGGCAGCCCCCAAGGTAAAGCAAAATCACCTCCGCAACGCCCGTGAAACCCACAGCGGCTGGGAGCGTGCTGCTGTGTGTCCAGGTCACCGGGGGTTGGGAGGGGGGGGGGGGGGGGGGGAGTGTGTGGGGGGGTGTTTGACTTGTCATATCCAAACCCCACACCTGCAACCCCCGAGACACTGTGCCTAGGGCTGTGGGACCCGCTGGGGAGCGCGGAGGTCCGCTGGCACGGCGCTTACCTACCGCAGTGGGGGGTGCGTGGGGTGCTCGGGGGGGAGACAGAGCCCACGCGGGCGGCGGCCGGGGCTCGGAGAGGCGGAGGGCAGAGCCGGCGGCAGCGGAGGTGGGTCCGGGAGGTGGGGGGGGGGGGGGGGGGGGGGGGTCCCCCCCATCGCCCTCTCCGGCCTCGACGTGGAGGGGGGCGGCCCGGCCTCTCCGGGAGTAGCGGCGGCTCCGCCCTGGGGTAGGGGCGACGGTCGGGGCAGCCCCCCCCCCCCCCCCGCCGACCCCCGGGGCGGGCCGCCTCCCCCACTCCCTTCCCTCCTTCCCTCCCTCCCTCCCTCCCTCCCTCCCTCCCTCCCTCCCTCCCTCCCTCCTCTCCCCGGGCCCATATAGCCGCGGGGTGCCGGCCCCCTCGCCCCGACGGCGCCGGGCAGCGAGCGGCGGTTCCCGCTCCTCCATCCCGCTGCGCAGCAGCCGGTGTCAGCGCTCCGCTCCCTCCCTCCCTCCCTCCCGGGCCCGGCCCGACATGGCTCTGTCCCTGGCCGGCGAGTGGGCCCCCGGAGACGGCGGAGATTCTCTCGGGATGAGCCCCGCCAGCCTCGCTGCCTACCACCCCTCCTTCCCCCCTCCTGCCGCCCAGTACTTCGAGGAGGCCCCCGACTTCTTCCAGCCCTTGAAATCCCTGGGCGGGTTTGTCCCCCCCGCCTCCCCGCCTCTGCCCCCCTTCAGCTACAGCAGGGTCCCCGCTTTCCTGAGCCACCCGCTCCCCCTGCCCGCCGAGCCTTTCTCCGGCCTCCCCCTGCCCCTCTACGCCAAGCCGCCGACCCCCTTCTCCCCCAGGCCCACGGGCTCGCCCACGGCGCCCTGCCCCAGCCCCCCCCGCAGGGCTGCCCGCAGCCCGGGGGCCGGCGGGCCGGCGGGGCAGAGCTACCGGTACCACTTCACCGAGGAGGAGCTGAACGCGGTGCTGTACGGGCCGCTGCGGGGCAGCCAGCCGGCCGGCAGCCTCCACGCCATCCCGCCCGCCAGCCCGGGTAAGGGGGCGCCCGGTGTGTGCGCAAGGGGCTGCCGGCTTGGGGGGGGGCACCGGGGGGCACGGTCGGGTTTGGGGTGTGCGGGTGGGGTTTGGGGACGGTCCTCCAAGAGGGGCGGTGGCAGCCAGGCTTCCCCGGGCATCGCCGGGGCCACCTCGGGTTTCCCCTTCCCCGCTGTTTATCTCTTGCGTTACGAACCCACAGCTTTTGCCCCGCTGCACCGGCACGGCCGGCGCCGGGCTGAGGAAGATGGGGGGGGGGTGTGGGGTGTGTGTGTGTGTCCTTCTTCTGCAGGTGCCGCGGACTCCTCCGCCCCGCTGCTCGACAGGGACTCGCTGCAGCTGCCCGAAGGTAGGGCCCCGGCGCAGGCTGCGCGCCCCCCTCCGCGCCCGCCCGCGGCCGCGCCGCGCTCAGCGCGCCCTGTCCCCCGCAGGGCTCTCGGTGCTGCGGATGGCGTACGGGGACGTGTCTCGGCTCGGGGTCATCTGCACGGAGCCCATCCCCAAAGGAGTCCGCTTCGGCCCTTTCCAAGGCAGAGTGGTCAACACCAGCGAGATCAAGACTTACGACGACAACTCGCTGATGTGGGAGGTAGTGGAGGAACCGCCGGCCTCTCCCCCCCCCCCCCCCCCCCACTTCACCCCCGAAACGGGGCCGGGGCGAGGGTTTCGGGCTTCCCTCTCCCGTAGCCTGCAAGAGGGGCTCGGCCCGGTGCGGGTGGTGGGATTGGTGCGAGCGGGACGTGTGCGGGAAGGGTCGGTGGACCCTGATCCGGTTCTCCCTGCCCTCCAGATCTTCGAATACGGCCGCCTGAGCCACTTCATAGACGGGAAGGGCGCCTCTGGCAACTGGATGTCTCTGGTGAACTGCGCCAGGTTCCCCGAGGAGCAGAATTTGACGGCTATCCAGTGCCAGGGGCAAATCTTCTACGAGAGCTGCAAGGAAATCTTACCCACGCAGGAGCTGCTGGTGTGGTACGGCGATTGCTACGTGAAGTTCCTGGGCATCCCCATCAGCCTGAAGGGCATGCCGGAGGGGAAGAGACCCCCGCAGCACCCCGAAGGTGAGCCTGCCAGCCAGCCCTCGAGGGGCACTGCCCCTTGTTCCCGCGGCCCTGCGCCTGGCCGGGATTAGATTCGCGTGGAGGGGGGGAGGTAAAGGAATTCAGGCATCACCTTTGGGGTTTGGTTGGTTTTTCCAGCTGTGTTGTACTTTCAGTGTTTCCCAATCGCTGCGGTGAGCCGGCGGCGGGGTGGCCGGCCCTGCCGCGGGGATGCTCTGGGGTGCCGGCCCCCCCCCCCCCCCCCCCTTCCCTTGCAGCCTCCAGCACCCCCGGAGCTGCAGCTTCCCCTGGGCACCGGGGAGCCCCGGGCATTGCACCGAGGGCTGCTGCCAGCCCGGAGCCAGAGGCACCCCCTCTGTGCCCCCGCAGCCTTTGCTCCCGGCTCGCGTCCCCTTGGGGAGTTCCAAGTGTTCATCTGGCGACTGTAAAACATCTGGTGGGGCTGGGCCGAGCTTTCCTCGGCTCCGCAGCGCCGTTGTTCGAAGCGGGGGGGTGTGTGTGTGGGGATCCCGTTTGGGGAGGAGAAGGGGCTTTTTGGGGTCGTTCCTCGTTTGGTCCTGTTTTATCCGACGATTGCACATACCTGACGCCGTAACATTTTCCAAGCAATTAACACGCCCAAGTCTATGGGGCAGGCTGAAGTCGTTGCGATCCGATATAACGCTGATATTGCCTGCAGAAGAAATGCCAAATGCACTTACTCCCGGAGTAGTTTTGCTGAGAATGTGCAGAAAGCAGGACGTGTTCTCATAAGCCAAGCTCATCCGCGGAGAAAACAGAGTTGTGCCAGTGCAGGGAAAGGTGGAGCGGGTGAGGGACGGGGGGACGGGTGCAGCAGGGAGGGGGAGAAGCAGCCAACTGGCGTGGAAATTTGGCGTGGAAATTTTTGTAGCTGTTGTCTTAAGGTGCCTGGTTCCGACAGCTGATAAATTGTTCATTTCATTTGAAGGCTTAAGCCCAAGTGACTTTTATTTAAGACAGAAAAGGATGTGTAAACGTTTGAAAAATAGCCCGTGTTGTTCCTAAAGTCAGCGGTTAAGAACGGTTTGAAATACAAAAGAAAACCAAATAAACGTGTTTTTGTTCGGTAGTATTTTGAAAACGATAGAAAAGACGTGCAAATTATTTTTTCTTTTGGGGATGGGAGGTAAAATTTACGGACAAAATTGACAATAAATACCTGGCTACCTTGCCGTGTGGGGAGACGCTTTTACGTGGGAGACTGTGTTGGTTTTTCCCATTCGTTCGCTGTTCATGGAGGTACAAGGATGAAAGAAATCCTGTCTTTGCTGAAGTCAGTAGCTAAAACCAATGATTTCCTCAGGCTGTGGACTCTCTAAATTTGTTTCCCTCCGTTAGAAAGGCAAGTGGAGCAGTGCGAACCCTCAAGAGATCCGACGTGTGTTTTGTTAATTGTAGTGCCAGAATCCCTTTACCGTTATTACCCTCCCGGACGCTTAAAAATTGGGGGTTGGGTCCCAGCTCTGACAAGGCAGCAGATCCGAAGTGAGCCCGTTTTGCTGCGGTGTAACGCAGGGGTGGCACTTTCCTTTCTGCCGTACAGAAGCCGGGGAGAGCTTCAAGTGTGAGCGCTGCGGCAAGGTTTTTGCCTACAAGTACTACCGGGACAAGCACCTCAAGTACACTCGCTGCGTGGACCAGGGGGACCGCAAATTTCCTTGTCACCTTTGCAGCCGATCCTTTGAAAAAAGAGACAGGCTGAGGATCCATGTTCTCCACGTTCACGAAAAGCACAGACCTCACAAGGTGAGTCTGCTCCTGGGTCTCTCCGGCTTTTTTTTTTTTTGGGGGGGGTGGGGGGGCTAGTTAAGGAGTCTTGGGTTTTTTTAGGAGAGGTAGCATGCCGATGTTGTTCCCCCTTCTCCAGTTCCCCTGGCAGCTCGCTGGTGGGACTGCTCTGCCTGTACAGGAAGAGTTTGTCTTGTGCAGCAGAGCTCAGTTGAAGATATCTGCTGAGTTTATATCGGGAAAATAAACCCCACAGTCTCGGTGAGAGTTTTTGCAAGGAAACAGTATTTCCCTTGGGCTTTTAGGGTGTTGGCATGTGGGATTTGCTACTTTTCTTACACACTGTGGGACTGAATTGTGTCTGAAGGGGCTCCGCTTGTCCAGGATCAGGAGAAACGATGTCTCCTATCCTCCCATCCCTGGCTTCAGTCTGGGAACTGACAGGCATCTGTGGCTGTTGGCTGAAACAGGAGTTGAAAGTTTTGTATTCGACGTGGAGCAGGTTTTCAATTGATGAAAACAAATCTTTGCTGAGATACTTTCCTCATCTCCACCAAACGCCTCTCTGCAGCATCAGTTTTTTCTCTAGGAACACTGGGAGTGGAAAATTGGACTTTCTCTAAAGGCTTGGGAAGGGCAAGTTCCAGTGTTTGAAATGGCACAGTTTAATCAGTCCTGAAAATTCTCCAAATACCCATTTTATAGATCACCCTGAAAGAAAGTGATTTTTTCAGGAAAAGGTTTTATAACTAAGTCAGCAATATTACAATGTCAGAATTTTGCATTGATTTAGTAACGGATGAAAAATATTATTCTATTAAATATGAGGTATTAAAAATAATTTCTTACCCTTTCCTTTTTTTCATTTTCCTTTTTTTCCTTTTCCTTTTTTCCCTTTTCCTTTCACATTTATTTTGGAATACATACAAAAGAAATAATTTAGAACAGCAGTAAGATAAACCTCTTCTGAATATATTGCATTTATATGAGAACAGATCAACTCAAAAATCAAAGGTGTCAAATGTGTCAGTAAAAAAAAAAAATCTTATTTCAAGATCAATCATAGCTTAGTTTATTTTGAACATATGAAGGATAATTTCTTTCAAATTATTGTAGGGGGGAAATTATTCTGGGGCTCATACAAATTGCCCTGAATCCATGCAAGTCTCCCGAGTGACTTCAGCCCCCTCTGACCGGGGTTTTGCCCCGTGGCTGCTCGCGCGGCAGCTCCGTGGGTGGGAGGATGAAGCGCCGCTTGTTTCACTCCCCAGGAAAAGGCACTTCTGCCAGACCACGCTGTAAGCTAAGGGCTCTCACTGGTTCACCATTTCTGACAAATGGCTATTATTTTAGGATTTCCCTTAAGATTTTTTTGGGGGGGGGGGAAGTTTATCTTTTGAGTAAAAATTAAAAATGGCAACTGGAACTTGATTTACCTTTTGAAGAAAAGTGGTGATTTTGCAGAAATTTTCAGATTTTGATTACTGAAAGTCAGTATTTTCTGTTCATGTTCTGAAGGGATGATTTTTAATGAAGCAATTTTAACCACACACACACACAAAAGCTTTGAAATTTTGCATTATTTTTCTTCTTTTTTTTTTTTTTTTAATAACTTATCTGTTTTTAAAACCAGATTAAAATTCTAACTTTATTTCAAATTGTTACTGCTTAAATTACTACTGTGCTTGTCTATGCATAAATACACATATATAGATATATGCCTATACACAAATATACATAAATACATGTAGGAAAATACATGCACACATCATCCACGTACTTAATTTTTCTTTTTAGCTACGCTTGTGTGCTTCCTTTTAACTTTATCCTTTTTTTATTTTTTTTTTTTCCCAGTGCTCAGTGTGTGGGAAGAGCTTTTCTCAGTCCTCCAGCCTGAACAAACACATGAGGGTTCACTCTGGGGAGCGCCCCTACAAATGTGTCTACTGCAACAAGGTAAGGCCAAACCCTGGCACATCCGTCTGTCCGTCCTCTTCTGCGCTCAGTGTCGCACTGCACCTGACAGGGGGTGGCTCTTTTCCTCCTCCATTTTTTCAATTTTTCTGCTTCTTTTCTGTTTTCTTCCAAGAAAATGCCTTCTATTTAAGTTGGGAACCAGCTAAGTGAGTGTATATTCTGGGCACAGCTGTGAGTTGAAGTGACGGGGTGGCTGAGCCTGAAGAAACAGGGTCTGGTCTCCATCCGATGTGGAATTTGTGTTTCACCCCAGCTCAGAGAGCTGCCGTGGGGATAAGGTCTAGGAAAGCTTGTTGAGAGCATTTCAAATACAATCCAAGACATGCAGCTAGGTCCAATATTCCCCTTTTTCATCAGAGAGGTAGTTTTTTTATGTTACTGACACTGCTTCGGGAGTGCGGCAGACAGATCTGTCCCGTAAGCTGAACCTGCACGATATGACTTTGTGCACGCTTGCCTTGGAGTAACAGGGCCATGGATGTGCAACTGGGCGTGGAGGTTTCATTTGAAAAAGAACATGAATAGGGGCATACAAAATTGGTCAGAAATGGGCTCGGCTGTTACTACCCTTCACAGCAGGGTTGGTTCAGGTGAGCTCTCCTTGTGAGAGCTCTGACTGCTCTCCCAGCAGGGAGAGGGTGGATGCACAGGCTGCTGCTGGATCAATATCAGTAGATCTCCAGGGGTGCTATGGAGTGTCCGTGCAATGCAGGAGCACCATCAGCATGTAGTAAGGTGCTCCTGATTTTGGAGAGAAAGAGAGGTTTTGTGACTGAAGTGTTCTGTAGTAAAAAAAACGTAGAAGAAGCTCCTTTAGGCTCTTATATTTTTTCTCTCCCAGACATCCTGAAAAATCTATAGGCAGAGTTTAGGATGAAATGTCATCCTTTAATCTTCCCATCACAGGAAGAGATGGCAGAGCTTCACAAGGTTGCTCTGCGAACAGGTTTCTAGGATGCATGCGACCCTTCATCAGCCCCAGCCGTTCTGGTAGGACTGTGGCAGATTGGATCAGATTAAACCATTAGTCCTCAGGCTGCCAGGATGCAGCTATCCTGGGACACAGCCATCATTTCTGTGTCTGGAAAACCAGGGGCAATTTTAAAGCACCCTCACCCGCTCCTCCTAGGCAGTCATGATTCCCCTTTGCCTCTTCTACCTTTAACAGTGGCTGTGCTCCGGGGCAGCTTTGCTTTCCCTGCCCCTTCGTTCACTATCTCGGTGATATCATGAAATTAAAGAAGTGTTAGGCCAAGATCACCATTCTGGCCCTCAAACACACTTTGGCCCTCTTAATATACACCTCCAGGGACTTTTCTGTAGGAATCTCAGATCTGTTCATGCTCTAAGGTTCCTAGCAAAAAGGTACCTGAGATATATTGATTTATGCTGTGAAAACTTACTTGTGATGGTTCAGCAACATAACAGTTCTAAAGAGGATTTGTTTTGTATTGTCTGCAAATAGCAAAGGGCCTGAAAGTGTCTCTCTTGGGAAAAGAAAAAATGGGGAAAACATGGGCAACTTTGCAACATTCCTGCTCAAGTCTTGGTGAGAGGGTTTTCCCCCCAAGTGGAGGAGGACAAAGTGTGATTGTGCACTCTTTGCTACTTGAGTGTGTGTGGGGGGTGAAACGGGATGGAAGGTCTGGCTGAAGGAAGAGCAGAGTATGATGGAGGGGGGAAAATGAAACCCCCAAAGATGGATGCTGGACTGCACAGATGAATTCTGCCAGCTGAATCCCAAGCCAGTGTATGTGGACATGAAAGGGTTTAACTTTGAAAGGAAAACCTGCATTATGGTTCCCAAAGCTGCAAAGCCAATTAGGACAGTATTGACTTCTTATACTTTGACACGTAGAAGATATTTACTGGTGTCTCTAGCCAGAAATCTTTCTCTAAGCTAAATCTAACTCCATGGACTCAGCCACATCTGTATAGTGATAGCTTCTGGTTTCTCGTTGCTGAGAGTTTTTATTTTTTCTCCAATTATCTGAGGATGCGAGCTATTTTGAGGACTTATTTTCAAGGTACAGTGCTTCTGACAGGGTCTGGGTGAGCGGAAACTGGTGGTTATATATGTGAAAACAGAGTACTTTAAACTCCTTCTCCCTTGTTTCGGATCCCTGCCCTTTCAGGCATTCACAGCGTCCAGCATCCTGCGCACTCACATCCGCCAGCATTCGGGGGAGAAGCCCTTCAAGTGCAAGCACTGCGGCAAAACCTTCGCCTCACACGCTGCCCACGACAGCCACGTGCGCCGCACGCACAGCAAGAAGGGCTGCACTTGCTCGGTGTGTGGCCAGCACTTCCCAGAGCAGGAGGCTTACCACTTCCACATGAAGATTCACGCTGCTCATTAGGGAAGAGCCCCGCGGACGCGTCCCGGACTAGCTCCTGTGTGTACCGGTCTATGTGCGTGTGTTTGTGCGTGGCTGTGTGCACGCCACGGGAGGAGACACCCACTCCCGCAGCAACTCTTTGGCTATGTCCAGTCCCCAGATGCTGAGAATGGAAATTCTGAGTGCAGGGGATGGGAGTTTATCTCGCTCGGGTGCCCTGATGCCACACTGGGCTGAAGTCCCAACATGCACTACCCCATGTTTCCCTTCCACTACTCCCATACCCTAATTTCAACAAAAAGAAACACAGGCAGGAGGGAATTTCACCTCCCATGGACGTGTTGTGCCTGAACACTGCTGTGAGGAGTGTTTCTGTGCCTCCGATGCACCACGTCTATGGGCTGCTGGGTGCGGCCCGGACCAAAGCTTCTGTGAGGGACGTTTTGATCGAGTGCATTTTCCAAAGCCAGTTTAACGTTTTTGTTTTATTTGGGTGCATGACCGGGTATGGGGTCTACTTCCTCTTAATGTGCAAGCCTTTTAATGACACTCTATTTAAATGTGAACTGCCTCAGGTACCAGCTGCTGGACCAGCATAGGGGCATTTAATTCTTTTAGAGGACCACATGTGAAGATATTCCTAAGCACCAGTGAGCTCTTAGGTGGGTTGCTAAACAGTCAAGTGGCCTTGTAGAGACGCTGCACTGTGGGCTCAGCACAGGCCAGGAGCAGGCACGATCCCACCACTGGGCTCTTCTGTCCTGTAACCATCTCTGGTCTAGAAATTTGCCACTCCAGGGTGTCCCGGCCAGGCGGGCCTTTGCGGTGAGTCCTGACATGAAGGCTGGGCTCTTCTGCTTCCTCCTGCTGGCTCTATGTAGGATGGCTGCTGTAGTGTCACTCCTGAATGCTTTTAAAAATGCACCACATACTAGTTCTTAAGGCACAAAGGTTTTAAAATCAGCTCTGTGATACCTCTGTTTAGGAAGGGGGAAACGTTCTCCTACCCTAAATTTGAAGGTTTGAGGTGTAGGATAGACAATGCCAGGACTGTCTCAAGTGCATATTACAATGGATAAAGTAATTTCAGTGTAAAACCACAAGTGATTAGACCCTGGGTTTTTTTGCAAAGTATTTTCAGAATCGTAAAGAACCTTAATGAACAGCATTCCTTGGCAATGCAAAATCTCAGCTCAGTGAAGGCTTAGCAAAAAGTCTGCTGAAGGAGCACTGAGTATGGGGAGTGCTGTAACTGGTGCAGAAGCCTCTTCTCACCAAGTGGCCAGTGCCATGGGCAGGGGGCTGTGCCAAGTGAGAGTCTCACCCTGCATCCGTGGGACTGTGTATTGCATCCAGGAGGCATAATGGAAGCCCTTGCTAGAGCTGGTTGATTAACACAGACAGGTTGATGTTACTGGGATGACGAGGTTCTCTTAATATCCTAGATCAGCAAGGATTAACAAGGACTTTGCAAGTAAGTATCAGAGATCATAAAGTTTTTATTTTGTGCCAACCTTAACAATCTCTTTAAATCAGCACAGAGCTAGGAAAAATGTTATCTGAACATTTAATTATAGCATGCAGATACTGTATCTATAAATACACTGATTTGCACTAATTTTATATGTTTTACTGTACCTTAAGTTGCTCTGTCCTCATTGTTCTCATGGTTAAAATATTTTAAAAAATATTTATAGAACCACTTACTTGAAAGTAAAATACTGAGGCCCAGCACTAAGCAGTATCTGAAATAAGCAAGCCATTGGTATTGCACGTAATGTATGTAGATTTTAGGGTAGAATGAAGATTACCTTTTGTTCTGAATTTTTTTGCTTATTTGAATATCAGAGATTCCCATAATACAGCAGGCTGAATTTTGTACATACTGAGGGCTGAACTGGTGAGCTCTAAACAGGTAAAATTCACTCCTGAGCAGAAAATTGTCGCAGCATTTATGTCCACAAACCATGCTGAAGTACAGGTGGGGGAACTGAATGTTATTTCCAGATGCCTGTCTATATGGAGATGGTTTTCCCCAAGCATAGAGAACCCTGGCCGAAAAATGTGAAGACGAGGTAAAAGCTTTGCTGGTTCATTCCCATAACTAACTCATGATTTGTTGAAATCATCAACTATCTAGTAATGAAATAAATATTATGACTAGGAATGGCTTCAAAGTGCTATGAACTACACGGTTAGCTTCCCATGCAGGTTTGTTTCTTGTGAACAAGGGTTATTTATTTAAGTTGTGCATATTCTGTAATGCTTTTAGTTGTGTGCATTTTCTTCTGCTTGAAGAACCCCCAAATATCTTATACCAAAATATTAGCACTCTTCTACAGTTTTGTGTGATGAGTTGTCTGTAGAGGAGTATGTGAAGGATTTCGCTTGTACTTGTGATTGAAGGTATTGGTTGTCTTGCACATTAAACCTGTATATGTAAATGTTGATGTTAATAATGTTATTACAACGAGATTCATAGAAAGGATGAAAATAATTTATTGGAGGCTGCAGTGTACACTAATGGGCTATAGGCTGTTTTCTGCCCAACACATTGGAGTTGTATCTTTGGGATACTACCAAATGGTTGAAGGGTGTTTTCTGTGTCATTTGTAAGTCATTACAGAGTCAAACTGTCTGTTACTGGGAATTGTAGTCCTTATCCTGCTGGGTAGCAGCTGACTGCCTTAGAAGTCAAAGGCACCCAGTGTCTTGATGGATTGGGCCTTAAAGTGTACCAGTAGCTCATGGAAGCTGTGGTCATTCAGGTCTGGACTGAGTTCATTCCCACTTGCAAGCAAGGAGATGGATCCGGACTGAGCACTAAAAAGGGCATTTAACTACCTTATATCATTTAACTACCCTATAGCATCGTCTTCTCCCTTCTGAATAGCGAGTCCCAGCTGTGCTGGGGCTGGGGGGCAGCGGGGGTGGCACGCACTTCACAGCGGGGTGGGGAGAAATAAAGCAGCAGGGAGCAGGAGGGAGGGCAGGCTGAGCCGTCCTGCCAGCCCACAACAGCGTTCCTTCCCCTGCAGGGAAAGTGCAGTGATTGGCAGTGCAAACATACTGTGCCGGAGAGGGTTTAGGAGAGTTTTGATTTAGATTTAGGGAATGCCCCTGTGTACATGTACCCTGCGTGCATCCAATGAGCTGAGGTTTTCCTCCACGGGGATTTGCACATTTACTTCCACCTGTGGCCATGCTGCCAGCGGCTCCCGCCAGCCCATCTTGGAGTGGGGTTTCAGTATTTATACACACAGATCAGAAGCAGGGAGGGGGAGGGTGTTTGTGTGTACGCACTTTTTTTCATCTGGCAGGTTCCCAGCATGACTGCACGGGGCAGAAAGCCTCGTGCATGGAGGAGGCCGTACTGCAAGTTCAACCGAAGGGAGAATATTTGTGACCAAGCCAACTGTAAAGGCTCAGTCCTTTCCCTGGGAAGCCCCAGCTGCTAGGTCGCTCCTGAGCAGACACCACGGTACTCAATGCTCCCGCTGGACATTTTTGAGCTGAGGCTGCTGAAGGCAGGACATCCCTGCAGCTCTGAGGGACCTGGCTGTGACTTTGCATGCTGTACTAGATCCACCTCTCCCATTTCTTGGCATCATCAAATATGGGACAGAAGTGACATTCTCATTGATAGTGACTACAGTAATACTCTTATGTGCAATAGGTACCTATGTTTCTCACTCAGTTTGGCTTAAACTGGCTCTAGCATGACTTCCCTAGACTTGACATGGGCACCCTGGCTGTTTTTCCTAACTAGGATTAAAAACGGTCCTGCCAAGGGGAGCAGCAAGTCAAGTCGTTGGGATGAATCAACCATGTAAGACACTAGCGGATTTTAAGTGTTTTGCATTAACTGTGTCAGGGTTTTTTAAACGTTAAATGGAAAGTGATCTAAATAGAAACCAGAGGATGAGGGCAATCATCTCAGCTGTTTTGTTGGGGCAGTGGGGGTTGAGCAGCGGTGTAACTCCTGAAAAGCCCCTTCTTGGTGAATGACAATGGCCAGACAAAACAAAAAGGTGGTCCCAGAGCTCAGGCTGGCAAGTGCAGGGAACAAAAGGCCTGGCCACCAACATCTGCCGCCTTCAGCATCTCCCTGCTCTTCAAATGCCTGAGCCCCATCCCCCCGCCGTCCTGGTCCCTGTCCGCTGTGCTCCCCAGGGGACTCGGGGAGGTGGGGAAAAGGGAGGTGGTTAACCACCACCGAGGGAAGGCAAAAAGCAGCTAGGAGCTTAGTGAATTGAAGATAATGCCACAAACAAATATTGATTAGTGCCAAACTGTCCATTGAACAAGAGACATCGTTCACCAGGGGAGCTCTGACTGGCTGTCCCCTCTTTCAGAAAGCAGTTTCTCGGGGTCCCCAGTGCCCTACATGCCTCTGCAGCAAGCACTGGGGCTTTCACCCCTACACACGCAGTCACTGTCACCTTCATTCGTCTTTTTCCTCTTGCACCTTCTTTCTTCTGGCTCTCCTTAATGCACACAGTGGAGGGCCTTGGGCACACAAGAGGTGTCAGGAGACTCGGGCTTTGCTGTCTGCTTTCCTTCTTTTTTGACCTCATGTAAAACACAACCAGATTTTCAGTGAGACCAGCAACTGTCTTGTTTCTATGGTGTTTGACTTAAGCTGTAAAAAGGCTTAATCTCCACTAGTGAATGCCTTTTCTGAAAAGCCAGTCCCTCGAAGGCACCTGGTGTTGGGTGTTGGCAACTGGGGGTATGCGGGAGCACTGGAGGAGAGTGTCAGCACCTCTGCCTGTCCTACAGGGACCCCAGTGACTCTACTCCACCTCCATCCCCAGATGGTCACTCTGCAGCAGCTCTCGCTGTAGAGACTGTCCTGGAACCCCCAGCTTTGCTGCGTTACAGCAGTGGCAAACCAGGCTTAAATTCAGAGCACTAACCTCTGGCTAGCCCAAAAGTTTAGCAGTGTAGAGAGCGCTGTCGCGTGCCTTAGTGTGAGAATGCCACACAGCCCTGCAAAGCTATGGTATTCTCAGTCTGGA